TCTCTCTCTCTCTCTCTCTCTCTCTCTCTCTCTCTCTCTCTCTCTCTCTCTCTCATTCTTAACCCTGTAGATGCTTGACAGTATTTTATGTCTAGGTAAAGTCAAACAAAAAACTGACTAAGAAGGTTGTTATGTGGAATGAAGGGCTTTAATTTAAAATGCATCTTAGGCGGCGTAGATTTTAACTTCCCAGGTTTATATCAGAAGATATGTCTAACCTTTAGAAGGGGTGGCAACATTTCATCACATTTTGGTTTATTAAATAATGTACTTCAGTAGCTCATTTAGTAATTTTTTATTTCTCTGTTGAATGAACTGTGCACAGACTTTCCTCATCTAGGATTCATAAGGGGACTCCTTGGACTTTACCAGCTAGTTTTTCTGCACAAATCTATTTGCTAATATGTTTCAACTGAAATTGCACAAGGATTTTGTAACATGCTAACCCTGTGTATGTGCAACAAAATGATTTACATGAGAGAATGCAACTGCTGTTTGGATCATTTACTGTTTATGTTTGACATTGCAAATGTTTAATCAGGATTTGTCAATTGATTGTATCAGTTTTTTAGAAATTGTAAAGGCTTTCCACTTTAGAATTTCTTCTGCTCATTAAAAATATTGATTACATAGTCTCTTTTCTAAATGTTCATTTGGGGAGGAAAGAATTTTCTAAAATAAATGATTATTTAGTGTGGACCTATGGTAGTGTTATGTCTTTAAATGTGTATGAATCTGAAAAGTATATGTTTAAATGCGTATGAATTTGAAAGGTATACGAATTGAATTAATACTGTGTATAAAAATATATATGTAGTAGGTACAAATACAGCTAATCCAATATTCAGAATGTTTTCATTTTAAATATAATTAAGTTTTAAAAACACAAACATATAAACACAAACATTAAAAAGTGACAGCAGTTATCAACTTCAAAAACAACAAAAACAACAAGTCTTTTTTTACAAAAGACTTCCCATGACTGAAATGAAAATTACACATCAATGTCCATATAGCATTACCAAGTATTAAAAAAAAAAAAATGAAGAGCTTCTTCTTAGACCATCGTTTTTCCTTGGAACGCGTGGTCCCTGTAATACAATACG